TTCACGCACATGAGGCCAGAATGCTACCCAGTGGTGTAGTCTGGACAGCAACCCCACAGGATGGAAAATGGTAACGCTCACGGGACCAGCCCCCGATCCACTCCAGCCAGGTCAGGCCCTGGTTCAGGTAACGCGCATTGCGGTCAGCCAGGTGGCGGGCTCGGCACTCCCCTCGGAAGAGAGAGGAGAAGAGGTAGGGATGGATTTCTGAGGCCCACCTGCGATGGGTCTGCCTGGGGAGGGATTAGCTGTGTGTTTGGGAGGCAGGGGAGGGCGAAATCCCTGTTTGGCGAGTCTGAGGCCTAGTCTATGCCTAAAATGTAGGTTGATCTAGCTATGTGACTCAGGGCTGTGAATAATTCCAGGCCCTGTGTGATCCGCCCCCACCCCGCCACTGTAGATGCAGCTATGTTGACAGAAGAACTCTTCTGTCGACGTAACTGCTGCCTCTCAAGGGGTGTAAAAATCCCCTCTGTTGCTGCACCACGTGTCTACACTACAGTGCCCAGCAGCTTAGCTGTGTAGACATTCCCTGAACAACACCCTCCACCCAACTTTGCTGTTCTGTGGCTCTTTTGGAATTTGTGTTAAATTTTCTGGCTTGGAAATGAAAGCCTGATAGTGTCAATAACAAAGAGACTTGTCTGTGCATAATTGAGCATGTGCCTCTACCTGCTAAACTGGAATTCCACTTCCCGCTCCCCTGGGCCCCAGCTCCAGGCAATCCCAAAGTGAGGATCACATCGCTGTCACAAGCATCCTGCAATGCTGCGTGCCTTTCTACACCTTGTAAAGGACTGGCGTGCACAAGACTGCAGCACCCACACATGGGCGTGCGCACACTCACACGCATGCACACAGAGGCGAGGTGAAAAGACAGAGAACAAAGGCTGGGAATTATTAAAGTTCAGGCGATCTCAGAGCAAACCATCTGCAATGCCCAAATATTAATCAGAGCCGAGCGCAAGCACCGGCTTATGCAGCACTTGCAAAAGGAAGCAGCTTTGGAGGAGCTGAAATGGTGTCACTGATTGGAGGCACCATGCTTCAGGGGTAGGAGTGGAGGAGGAATGGGGCATGGATGCAGGGAGTTCCTAGTATGTGGTTATGATGGGTAGAAGTGTGACTTTCTGCTACAGCCCACGGAGCACTGAGTATGCACTGAAGTGTTTTGTGGTTGGTCGTTTTTGCACTGGTGGTTTTGAAATATCAAAGATCCAACTGAGACTACCTCAAAGAGCATAAAAAGGAGATGCTGCCAAGCGGCTCTGCGTGTGTGTGTGTGTAAGTGTGAGGTTAAATATGGGAACCTGAATGCTTGCCATGGGTTTTAGCGTGGGTCATAATCCCCTACAAGCCAGCCAGCCCACCCAAATCAATAGGATGGGAATCAGAGCCTACGTGAGCCACGGACGATCCTGACCAGGAGACGTGGCCCTGTTTGGAGGCAGGAGCTCTGGAAGGACCTGCTGGATGACGACCCTTTTCATCGCTTCGCAAAATAGAGTTATACAAAAATAATGTTGCAGATACAAGGTGCTGAGCTTGGTGTAGAGTCCTACCAGGCCCGTAAAGCTGTAGCTTCTGAGAGAACCGGCAGGTCTGACTGGATCTCTACAGGCAAAATATGGCTCATGGGCTATTTAAATTGCTGGGCTATAGTAGCTCAGCTGAGAACAGCTGCGATGGCAGATATGTGTGGGATGCAGAGTAATGCTGAACCAAGTGAGGGGAGGGTAGCACCAGGAGGAGGGGCAGATGTACCATAGTAACGGGGGAACCTGCAATGTGGTGAATGGAAATTGCATCTTGAGTGGGATTGAGGGCGTGCATGAGTGGAACTGTGGGGAGCAGAGATGGGAAGGCAGGGAGGGTGTAAGCCACAGATCAGCTCCTTGCAATAAGGATAAACTCCAGGACTCTGCTATGGAGTAATCCCCCCATCCCCGGAGGCTAATCATCTTTTTTGTAGCATGAGTAAAAAGCCCTGAGGACAGGTGTAGCATGGGCAGCAGCAGGGCAAGCATCGCCGGCCCACCCCAACTGATGTGCCTCACCCCAATCTAGTACGGCCGGCTCTAGAGCAGAGAGGAGCATTTCGTCTCCACGGTTCCGTCCAGGCCCCAGTTCAGCAAGGTACTCGTGCCTAACTTTGAGCATGCGAGTTTTCCCATTGAATTGGGACCTCAGGCCTTGGCTGCTCTGCTGAGGCTGCCAACAGGGTTTTGTGATGTTGACACTAATACATTAGAAATGGGGCCATGTGGCTGCTGTGTCACACAGATTGCAAGGGCCTCGCGTAGTCTACAAGCTCCTTAGAGCAGCGGCCGTTCTTACCTCCTTTGGAGTGGACCAAGCACACCATTAGGGCTTAGCAATTACTAGCGGGCTCTGGCACAGCCATCGGGGGACCAACCTTTGATCACGACTGGCCTAGGCCGAATTTCCATTGCTAATGACCTGGAGCTAAAAAGCTCCATGTTCCATCACGCCCCCTGAGTCATCCACTCCCCTGGAAAGAGAAGTTAGGCCAAAATCTTGCACCCAGAAGAAGAGCTGCAGGAGAAGCAGCTCATCCATCCGTGTCTGGTACTTAACAGGACGGAGTGTTACAGAATTATTACTCCTTAGAGGGTTCAGACACCCTAAGCCTAAGCCTCCTTGTGAGCCAGCTGTCCTGTGCCTTCTTGAGGGCTGGTTCTCTGGGCCTTGTGCAGTGATTCACACCCATGCGGCGTGGGCAGAAAGCACCCCTGTCAGGGTGAGTGGAGGGTTCTAATCTGGCAGCGTTTCACATGCACATGGCACAGGGGCCCCTGACTGCGCACGGTGCTGGCAGTGGAGGGCCGGGCCCTTGAGGCTCATCAGCTCAGTGCACTGACGCACTCCCCCAGGGAAAAGGAGGAATTGTTCTCGCTGATTGAGGTGATGTTATGCAGGGACCTAAAAAGCCAACGTGCATACACAGAATTCCCACACACTGAAACCCGCTGCCCTGGGCTGCATGGGACCCAGGTAACAACACTCTCTGGATCTCTTTGTCTGCTGCAAAGGAAGATTCAAGGTCTTCCACGGATCCAGTGTCTGTACTCTGAACCTACGCACAGCAGAACTCTAACTGTGCCCGATGCATCCCTACTGCCCCTCAGCTTTACCTGTGATCTCATGCTGCCTGAGCTCGTTGTATCTGTAGGACTGCTCCAGGGGTTTGATGGAGGAGTGGTAGATCTTCCTCAACCGCTGCAGTGTTGCTACAGGTTCAAGGGGTGATAAAATAGAAACAAATCAAACTCAAAGCTACTCCCAGATGCCTCTGGTGTCCTGACCATCTTCTTTACCTCCCTGGATCTCTTTCATGTACACACACAGAGGCAGTGCAGATAAACAAGCAAACAAATCTCCATTTGGCTGTTGGAATGGGAGGCCTCTCATTGTGGGTAGAGATTTCTGGTTGGGACAGGTATTAAGAATGGGCATGAAATCTCATGATAGCAGGGGACTGAGTCAATGACCAGGGAGGTGCCCTACAGTCCTATGTTCCCATCTTTAGAAAATAAGGTACCACAGAATAAAACCCTTTGAGATGCTCTGGATTAAGCACTGTAGTTAGAGAAGGGATGGCAGATTCCAGGCCTGTCCCATGAGCTGTGCCGGTGGCATTAACCTCTGTTCACTGGGAGGTAGCTGCTGCCTGGCTGTAGCCGTTGTTCAGTTTTGATTTGCTTCTGTGGAATCACCCATAAAAGACACAGAAGAAGCAATCCTGTGGTTCTGGCGTGATTCCACTCCCACCTCCCACCCCTCTTAAGCCTTAGAACTTTCTCTAGTTTTCCATCAGTGATGAGAGAACGTCAATAGCTTTAAACGGCTGATTCAAATAAGTACCCAAAATTTCAGGGGTGAAATCCTGGCCCCATAAATCTCTTTGGCAAAAGTCTCATTGGTATCATTATGGCCAGGATTTCACTCCAGATGCTTTCCCCAGCCTTCTCCAAACCTGCAAATGTATCGGTACATTGGGTAAGAAATCACAAGATTCATTACTATTTAATATTTGATACACAAATTCCTAAAGGGCCCTTCATTGTAGTGCCTGGGTGCCAGTGAGAACAGGCTTTCTATGACATGCCCAGTACATCTTCATTTCTGAAGGCCAGAAGAGTGTCAAGAACAGCTCTTCCCACAGTATTTTGGTGCTTCTTCATCTAGTCCCAGTGGACACAGTGGAGAGCAGCAGCAAATGATAAGTTTCAAAAATGAAAAATAAAACTTTAAAAGTTGCTCAAAACTCTTTTGCTCCTCAATAAATGTTCAGGGCTGGGCTGGATTGGGTTGGCTTTGAGGGGAGCTTATGTCTGTTCTTATTTTTGTGGCTCTCCAGACTTATCTGAACTTCCTTCTTATGCACACCATGTGTACATCTTAGCACTATCGGAACTATGGCAATCCAGGGGAAAGGTAAGCATTTAAGAGGCAAGAAACTCAAGGAGAATGTGAAAAGTTACCAGCTTTGTAAGAAACAAGATTTAAGACAACAAAAAAAAGACATTGACACTAGTGCTTTTTGTTTAACTGCATGATTCTGTCTTTCAGAGGTGGGAGTATGGGCTCTTCTCCTCTTGTTATGCATGTGTAACAAGCCTGCACTTAGAGGCTACTCAATAAAGGCCATCTCCCACGGCCTGGCCCCAGAAGCCACAGAATCTCCCCAAATCCCAGTCTTTATGTCTGCAATAGATTGGGGCCCCCACTGCACCCAACCACCTACTTGCTTCCTGAGTGTATTTCCTACCCCGCCCCCTTTTTGCACGCCCGTTGCCACACTCCTACCTGAGTAGTCATCTGCAGGTTTAGCCTCACTCAGTTTAAGGGTGCTCTCTATATGGGAACGGTCCCTCTTGGCAGTCTCCCCAACATCTTCTGTCTCTTCTGGAGAAAAAGGAAAACAGCCCGTGAGGCATGTCTGAAAACAAGACTAGGAAGAGCACGCAAACCACAACACGACATGGTGAGTGACTTCCTGGCCACAGAGGGGGCTGAGAAGCATCTGTAACCCCCTTGCCAGGGAAGAATCTTTGAATAGCTAAGTCATTAAGAGCTCACTGCTCTGTTTTTATTGCAGACACTCCTTTCCCCCTCCCTCCCCCCTCTCTCGCAAAACTTTGCTGAGGCTCCCAACAGAGGTGTCTGTTGGTGCCAATTATGATTACGGCTTTGCAATGTGGTGATCTTTCTATTTGGTTCTGGAGAGAGACCAGCAACTGACCCACTTAGTCCTGTTGGCATGTTCCTCATGATTTAGAAAGTTACAGATTAACAGATTCCAAGGTCAGAAAGGACCATTCTGATCATCTCGTCTGTATCACACCTGCCCATAGAACTTTCCCAGAATAACTCCCTCTGAACTACAGCACATCTTTAAAAACCATCCATTCTTGATATAAAAATGGCCAGTGATGGAGACTCCACCATGCCCCTGGGCAAACTAAGAAATAAGAGCTTGACATCAATACTATGAATGCAAAATATTCATCTGAAAGGGATGCTTGATAATAAAGAAAACCATTAAGCAATATGTTCAACTTGCACATGCCAGCTTGCTGGATAGCAGTCCCTGCCCTGGCACTGATATGGGCAGAAAGATTTCAATATGTCTTCACCTGCAGCTGGTCAGACCCGAACTACAACTCTTTCATAGCAATAGTGCTCATGCCTTGCTTTAGTCAGGCTACCCCCTCTGTCTCTCCACCCAGGCATCTATCTGCAGAAGAGTTAAACGTCCACTCTTTACAAACCAAAAGTGAAAATGAAATGTGCTGATATTGACGACGGAGGGCGCTGGATGAGGCAACGTGGCCCTGCCGGACAGCCCTGGCCTGCCACTCGCCACACACGGGTTCAACTCCCAGCTGTGCCACAGAATCCGTGGGTGACCTCGGACAAGTCACTTCACATCATTGGGCCTCAGTTTCTCCATCTCTCAAATGGGGAGAATAATCTTTCCCTTCCCCTATCGTTTGTCTGTTTTGGCCCTTTAGACTATCAGCTCATTGGGAAAGGGTCTGGCCCTTCCTATGTGTTTGTACAGCACCTGGCATAATGGGGGCACTGCTTTTGGTTGAAGCCTCTAGCTGCTACTGTAATAATAATAACACTACATCAGCCTAGGGGAGAGGGCTTGGAACAGAATAGGGCTATGTATCTAGATCTCTACTTAATGTCCATATGAATATTAGTGCTCAAAGTGTATGCAGCAGGATGTATCACACAGGGGTGTGTGTCTGGCCTTGTAGGTATGTTGACCCCTATAGATGCATTAGCTCCTATTAATGTCAATGGCAAAGCTCCCTCTGAAAGCAGCAAGTGCAGGATTGGGCCCTAGGCTCAAGAATGGTTTTCAAACAGCTCTGTGACCAAACATCTTCCCAGCCCATCCTGTTGGGTTGGGAATAGAGCCACCACTCACCACATGGGCGGCTCTCGTTCTCACGCTCCTCACTAGCCTGAGAATCTGAACTGAAGCGCACACACATCATGCAAAGAAAGGTCTTTTGGATTTGCCAAAAAAAGCCACAGAGACTCAGCTCTGGTTACATCTGGGCACCAGCAGCCGCTCAGTAGGTCCGTATGTGACAGCGCAGCACTAAGCAAGGGGAGGGCAGTGGGGGGTGGGGTTTCTCCTTGTCATGTAAGCTAATCAGTGACAAAGGCTGAAAAATTTATGAGACAGATTTCATGAGTAGGTCCAAAGAAAATATGGGACGGATAATTATTCATTGTTCACCCACAAACTCACCTGTGACTGACTGGAGCGTGCGGTCTATGCAATTTGGAAATTTACCAGCTTTCTGCCGGCTTCCTGGGAAAATCTAGGGCCCCGATCCTGCACGTGAGAGCGGGCGGCAGTGACCACACCAAGCGCCACTGAAGTCAATGGGGTTCTGCCCGGGTTTGCATTCTGCCCATGAGCTGCACATTGCAGGAGCAGGACCTAGGCCTCCTTTTTTCATGATCTGGCATTAATCTGAATGCCCAGTTCATCCACCCACCTTTCCCCTCCCAGCGCTCTGGGGAAAACAATCCCAGCACTGCTCAGAGAGTTCTGAAACAATAATGCAATCTGGGGACTGTGTTAAAACTTATCTAGGACTTCCCTTGGAATTCACATCTTTGGAAGGGATTATCACTAAGGGGGAGCATGAGTGACTCCCAAGTGAAGTATCAGGGGGTAGCCGTGTTAGTCTGTATCCACAAAAACAACAAGGAGTCCGGTGGCACCTTAAAGACTAGCAGATCTGAAGAAGTGGTTTTTTACCCACGAAAGCTTATGCCCAAATAAATCTGTTAGTCTTTAAGGTGCCACCGGACTCCTTGTTGTTTTCCCAAGCGAAGGCTCAGGGTTCTAACCTGCTATTCCCAGGATAGCTCCTTCCCCTTAGTTTGCAAACTGGTGTACGCTGGACACTTCACCCAGTCTAGATCCAATTCTCTTGTGTTGTCTGTGCTGACTCTTAAATTGCCAGGTTGTGTGAAAGGTGTGGTGTATTTCAAAGTGTTTGTATTCCTTGGACCTGGCTCTCTGCTGTCTCAGGGCCTGTGTAATCATCTACGCCAGTGTAAAGCACTGGTGCATTAGGACCAGATTGCAGCAGAACGGTGTCCTGGTCCATTTGCTGCATGGAGCATGCCATTTTGTTCTGTGAGATCACACTGGCAGGGGCATTCTGGTAGATGTCCATTCAGGACTACCCCACTGGTACAAAATGGTGTCAATCACTATCACAGCAGAATGTTAGCACTCACTTTGCACTGGTATCAATGACTGCACAAAGCACGGAGCTGTGAAGAACCAGGTTCCTTTGCCTTTAGAAGTATTAGGACATGAATTCAATGCTGGTGAAAGGGCCATGTTGGCTCCTGGACATGGATGTCTGTTTTTATCCGCAGAACAGATCCAGGCCAACCTTTGCCCAGTTCACCCCCTGCCAATGTGCCCCATCCTGGAGGGGCCACCTGTAGTGCTGAGAGCGGAGTTCAGTTGCCATGGCCCATGGAGTCCTTGGCATCTCTATTGAGGCTCCCAACAGGTGCTAACTGGGGTGGAGCTGGACAACCCGTTCCTGGGAAATGGGGAGGGAACATAACACTTCATTTCATGCAGGCCATGGCAGAGCTGTCAGATGGCAATGGATAGTCACTGTTGACCTTGTACTAATTCAGCCTAATGCCCAAGGGGTGAAAGCCTTCATCTCCCATTACCAAGTACCAACCGCAGCCCAGGACCACCCCATATCACCAATGCCACCCCTCCTGGCTTTGGCAGGACAGGGATCTCCGGTCTGAGCAGTTGGTTAGGGTCACACACTGAAAGCACAAGCGTTAGAACAAGGGCCGTGCACTGGGTGCATTTTAATGTCTGCCAAGCTCAGCGGCGCTCTGGGTTTGATAGTGGTTCACTAACCAATGCCCTTTGCTGTTAGGCTATTACTACTGGCACGCCTAGTAACAAAAAAGTCAGACCTATTTGCCTGGGGTCAGGCACAGCACCAGCAGGAGGACGGTTGTTGCCAGGTGGGCTGTCTGTTTCTGCCACTAACTGCGCATCCACAGAAAGGCTTCCTGCTACAGCTGGGTTACTATTGTGAGAATGATCTTTGTCCTGCTCCATGTCTCTGCGGGGTGCATTCTCCTGGCCTGCAGAATCAGACTCAGCTTCCACTTCACTGATCTCTTCCTCTTTGACATGGCCATGGTCTTCCATGTCACTAGCAGCCTCTCGGACATCTGGGGCAATGACTTCCTCAGCCTCTTCCTCTGACTGTGCCAGGCCAGCCCCCTCTTCCTCTGCCTCTGCCGGATCACCACCCTCTTCCTCTGCCAGGCCAGCCCCCTCTGCCTCTGCCGGATCACCATCCTCTTCCTCTGCCAGGCCAGCCCCCTCTTCCTCTGCCGGATCACCACCCTCTTCCTCTGCCAGGCCACCCCCCTCTTTCTCTGCCGGATCACCACCCTCTTCCTCTGCCAGACCAGCCCCCTCTTCCTCTGCCGGATCACTACCCTCTTCCTCTGCCAGGCCAGCCCCCTCTGCCGGATCACCATCCTCTTCCTCTGCCAGGCCAGCCCTCTCTTTCTCTTTCTCTGCCGAGTCATCACCCTCTTCCTCTGCTGAGTCATCACCCTCTTCCTCTGCTGAGTCATCACCCTCTTCCTCAGACTCTTCCTGGTCATCATCCTCTTCCTCTGAACTTTCTTCAGACTTTTCTGCTTCCAAGTTAGGGTTTTTTCCCACTCCCTCAGCCGAGGCAGTGCCTGGTTCCTCTCGGTCCCTTTCCGCTGGCTGGCCATCAGTGGCGGTCTCCCGCTCAGGACTGTCACCAGTTCTGTTGCCTGAATCAGGTTCCTTCTCTTTTACAGCTAGTCCATTGCCCCCGAGAGGGTCCCCAGAGACATGACTGGTCTCTGAGCTAGAGACTTCTTTGTCTTGCTTGTTTGCATGATTCCTACCTTGCACATGAGATTCGGCACCTTGGCTGGCATGTGGAATACGGCTCTTGTCTTCTTTAGAGCCTTCTTCCGGCTGTGTCCCCTCTTCCTCAAGAGTTCCTAGCTCTGCTAGAGCAGGTTCAGCGCTATGTGCATCTCCCTGAGGGGGCGATTCCCCGCTGGCCGGTGAGGGCGGCGTGCTCCTCTGGGAGGCCTCGCTGACTTCGCTTTCCTTTTCAGCAGCATCTTTGCCATCATCAGGCCCTGAGTGGTGTTCTGCTGCTGCTACCTCCTCTCTAGCCAGAGCCTTTGTACCATGCTGGGAAACCTGCCTCTCCTCTGCAGGCAGGCAGGTGCTCTCTTCAAAACTCCCTGCTGTGGCGGGAGGAAAGTTTTTCCTGTCCTCTTCACTCCCAGCCTCTTCCAGCCTGATCTCCACCCCTGCCACATCGAGCTCCCCCTCCTCCTTGCTCTCCTTTGCAGCTTCGCTCCTGCTGCCTCCAGGCTGTTCTTTGGCCAGCAGCTCTTCCGTGTCTTCCCCTGGGAGAGGAGTCCCTTCTGCTGGCTCTGGCTCTCTCGCCACAATCTCACCTCCATCAGCATTGCTGCCTGTGGCAGTGTGACATTCTGAAACCGACGAAGAAGCATTAGCAACGTTCACGTCATTGTCCTCCTCTTGGCTCTCATTGTTCGAGCCATCAACAGGGATATTTATATCAGCACCTGTCTTGGAACCACAGTCATGTGGCATTCCGCTCCTTTCCTGGGCTGCTGCCTCATTGCTGTCTGCAGGCTGGAGGAGAACAGTCTTCTCAGGAGGTACAGAGTCTGGGCAAAGTATCCCTTCATTCCCCTCTAGGCTCCGGTCTCCAGCTGATAAGTGATTCTCAACAAAGTTGGCAACATCTTCAGTGCCCCCCGAGGCAGAAACTTGCAATTCTAAATGATTAGAACATTAGCAGTCAGTTTTATCTGAGTCTGAGTCTGTTCTTCTCCTCAAAAGAGCCAACATGTGCCTACACAATATGTGTGTGTGCTTACACTCACACCTGCTTATGTGTGTGTGATGTGGAGTAAAACTCAGTTGCTTACTAATACGATGCTGCATATGGAGTCCCAGCATGTTACAAAATCTCTATTTTGAGGCTATTATAAATGAATTTTAATGCTATCCCTGTTGATCCATGGGCAGCAAAAACCATCTTTGGTGCCATCTTGCTTTTAATGCTCCTATCAATAAATCGTATGCAAACAGGTTTTGTTGGAGAGAATATCTTATATTACATGGACAGTATTTAGGAGATTACTGTCAAGTAGCTCTTAGCCCCAGTAAGTCATACCAGCAATTGTTCCCTCTGGGTCTTGCCTTTTGCTATAACCCTTCTGCCCCCTGTGGTTCACCCCAGCAGAAGCAGTGTTTGGAACAGATGTGAACAGTATAAAATTCTCAAGGAAAGTGACCTTTTATAAATATATTGGCTGGGGTGGGGGTGGGGGGGAAGCTTAGCCCAGAACATTTATATTTGAAAAGCCACTTGCGTGTGGCAAATCATAAAGGGTCATTTCCATGTTCAGTTTCTTGCATAGCAATTGGAGTTTAGCTGGTGTGTGTCTGCTGGGTCAATAATAGAGGTGAGGGTGAGAGTTGAAGGAAGGGGGATGCAGAATGTACTGGCCACAAGAAGAGCGGACCCGTGTGAATAGATTTGAAGGTGCAGCCTGACCCAGGGTCCATGCTAGAGTGCTATTTATTGTGAGTGGCCTTTTATTAGGAAAACATTTGCCGCTCTTTGAAACTGACTGGAATGCAATGAATTCATTCTGCATTCCGGGAGATGTCACCTGCGTTTTCCATGGGCCCCCCTCTGTAATTCAACATTAGTCAACAGATACTTAAAATAAAGCATTACTGGCTATAGCGTCTCTGTCACAAACAGTTGCTACTAGTCTGAATAATCCCCTGAAAAGTCTAATGTCCACATACCAGGGACGCATTTCAAAAGGGAATAATTCCTTTGTACTCCAGCTGGCAAGCAGATGCCAACCAGAAAGTACCATCCTCACTCAAGCCAAAGGGAGGAAAAATGGGTAGCACTGTCAGGCTCTCTCAGATAGCAACCAGAGCTTGACATGGGCCATTCCTTTAGTCTTCTCCCATGACCCTTTGATGGTCTTCCCACTGTCCATGTTCCTAAATGCTGTATTGGAGAAAGTGTGGGAAGTGCCCCACTGCCCTCCAGCCCAGCAGTGTCCAGTCTCACCCGGCACAGTGCTTCGCACCACTATGAACAGCAGTGCTTGGCATGCTAGCACTTTGTATCCAAGGATCTCAAAGCACTGCCCTGCCCAGCCAGTCAGCCATACACAGAGCTCAGCTCAGCCCAGCCCAGCAGACCTCATCCTGCAGACCCTAGCACCTGCACTTAGGGGAGCACAGTCTCTGTTCACACTACTACCGGAGAGAGAAGCATGGTCAAACCTAGGACCTGAACACTCCTGGCCTTTGTGATCATTCGGACCCAGATCCTGCACTGTGAGACTTGACCCTGTCAGATCAGTTTCTTTCCCCAGGCCTCCCTGTTCAGGGGCCATGCTGCAGCTTTCCCTGAGCAGTAGGGATGGTTGCTTGGTGAGTGATTCCCTGTACACCAAACCCTTGTAACTGGCTCTCGGAGCAGCCAGGTGCTAGATTAGGAAAGCAAAGCACCAGAAAAAACAACCTGCTTTTAAAAGATTCCAATCACTGCGTTTGGTTTGGCCTGTAGTGTAAATAACAGCAAGGGAGAGCCAGTCCTGCAACACTCCAGCACACGGACTCGAGCAGCAGTGAGCTGGTCGTATCAACGGGGCAGAACAGCCGCAGAGGGTCTGTCCACACTGCAGCGGGGAGATGCAGTTTCCAGCTCAGGTGGACGTACACACACTAGCTTGGATCACTGCAATATGATAAAAATAGCAGTGTAACCATGGTAGCATGGGCAGTAGCTCAGGCTAGCTGCCCACGTACAATCCCATCTGCATCCCTAAGTCCTCAGGTGGCTAGCCTGTGCTGCCCTGGGTGTGCTGCTATTTTTAGCGTGCTAGCTCAACCAAAGCTAGCCCGTGTATGTCTACCCAAACTGGGAATTACACCTCCTGCTGCAGTACAGACATATCCAAAGATGTCAGACAGCATGCGAGTCTGCAGGGTCTCTGCAGGAGGGGTGTGGTGGGCTAGTGCCTCTGCTGTGGCTTGCTTTGGCCACCTTCAGTGGCTCACCAAAGTCAGTCCGTGGGGAGAGCCATGGTATCCACCCTCTCACTCCTGCATGGGGTTTCAATTCAGAAGTGGGAAGGCTATGAAGTGGGATGTGGCTGAGGGGGATCCGGTGCAGAATGCACGCAGACAGGGCCGGCTCCAGGCACCAGCCCTCCAAGCATGTGCTTGGGGCGGCACCTGGAGGGGGGCGGCACTCACCCAGGGAGAGCGGGGCCGCAGCCGGGCTTGTCACCCTCCTCCCAGTGCTCTGGCGAGAGCGGGACCCCAGCCGGGCTCACCGCCCTCCCTCCGGCGCTCCAGCCGATCGGGGAGAGCAGGGCCCCGGCCGGGCTCGCCGCCCTCCCTGCGGCGCTCCGGCCGGCCGGGGAGAGCGGGGCCACGGCCGGGCTCGGCGCCCTCCCCTGCCGCGCTCCTCGGCGGGGGGCGGCGGGAGGCTTTTTTGCCTGGGGCGGCAAAAAAGCCAGAGCTGGCCCTGCACGCAGAGCAATGGAGATGGGAAGTGGGGAGTGGCACAGGAGAGCTGGGAAGTTGGCGAGGAGAGATGGGACAGGGCCCTGCAGATGGAACAGGTGGAGAAGAGCAGAGCTGTGAGAGGGACGGCGGTGGGAGAGAAGGACCAAGAGAAACAGGCCAGAGGGAGTCAGAGCAGTGGGTCAGAGAGTCCAAGGCCAAAAGGGGCCATTTTGACCATCTAGTCTGACCTCTTGTAGAACACAGACTATAGGACTTCCCCAAAATAATTCCCCAGAGCAGCTCTTTTAGACAAACATGCAGCCTTGATTTAAAAATGGCCAGTGATGGAGAATCCACCACGACCCTTGGTCAGTTGTTCCAATGATTAATGTCGCTCACCGTTAAACATTTGCATCTTATTTCCAGGCTGAATTTTTCTAGTTTCAACTTCCAGCCATTGGGTCGTGTTAGACCTTTCTCTGCTAGATTGAAGAGCCCATCAAATATTCCCCATGTAGGTACTTACTGTAATCAAGTCACCACTTAACCTTCTCTTTGTTAAGCTAAATAGATTGAGCTCCTTAAGTCTGTCACTGTAAGGAAGGTTTTCTAATCCTTTAATCATTCTTGTGGCTCTTCTTGGACCCCTCTCCAATTTATCAACATCCCTCTTGAGTTGAGAACACCAGAACTAAACACAGTAGTCCAGCAGCAGTCACACCAGTGCCAAATACAGAGGCAAAATAATCTCTCTGCTCTTACTCGATATTCCCCTGTTAATGCACCCAGGATCACATTAGCCCTTTTGGCCAGAGTCGCACTAGGAGCTCATGTTCAGCTTGTGACAGGTTGAATCACAGAAACCCCCTTGGGAGCTGCCACCTAATGTACCAAGACTACCTCTGCTCCTGTTTTCCCTGCCAGCTCAGGAGTCCAGCACCCTGTCTTACTTAGTCAGACACTCCCGTCTGCTCCAACAAAGACCCAGGGTCTGAATTACTTGTCCCAAAGCTGCAGGTTTACCTGAAAACAGCTCACAGAAGTGTGCTTGTCTTTAGCACTCAGATGCCCAACTCCCAATGGGGTCTAAACCCAAATAAATCCATTTTACCCTGTATAAAGTTTATGCAGGGCAAACTCATAAATTGTTCGCCCTCTATAACACTGATAGAGAGAGTTGCACAATTGTTTGCTCCCCCGGGTATTAATACATACTCTGAGTTAATTAATAAGAAAAAAGTGATTTTATTAAATACGGAAAGTAGGATTTAAGTGGTTTCAAGTAGTAACCGAAAGAACAAAGTAAGTCACCAAGCAAAATAAACTAAAATGCGCAAATCTATGTCCAATCAAACTGAATACAGATAATCTCACCCTCTGAGATGCTTCAGTAAGTTTTTTCTCAGACTGGACACCTTCCAGGCCTGGGCACAATTCTTTCCCCTGGTACAGCTCTTGTTCCAGCTCAGGTAGTAGCTAGGGGATTCTTCATGATGGCTCTTCTCTCTCCTCTTTGTTCTGTTCCACCCCTTTATATATCTTTTGCATAAGGCGGGAACCCTTTGTCCCTCTGGGTTTCCACCCCCCCTCACTGAAAAAGCACCAGGTTAAGGATGGATTCCAGTTCAGGTGACATGATCACATGTCACTGCAAGACTTCATTACCCACTTGCCAGCACACACATATACAGGAAGACTCACAGGTAAACACAGCCATCTGCAGACAATGGTCCTGGTTAATGGGAGTCATCAAGATTCCAAACCACCATTAATGGCCCACACTTTGCATAATTACAATAGGCCCTCAGAGTTATATTTCATATTTCTAGTTTTAGATATGAGAGTGGTACATTTATACAAATAGGATGATCACACTCAATAGATTATAAGCTTTGTAATGATACCTTACAAGAGACCTTTTGCATGAAGCATATTCCAGTTACATTATATTCACTTATTATTATATTTTTATAAAACCATATAGACTGCACAACGTCACACAGCTGATTATACACTGTGACCCCCAAATCTTTTTCAGTCACTGCTTCCCAGGAGTTCCCCATCCTGTAAGTACGGCCTACATTCGCCCCCCCCCCCCCGAGATGTATATATTTACATTTAGCCATATTAAAATGCACATTATTTGCATGACCTCAGGTTACAAAACAATCCAGCTTGCTTGTATCAATGACCTGTCTTCTTCGGTATTTACCATCATTCCCCCAAT